TAACACATCCAGCAGTTAATAAAAACAGAGAACTGATCATCTGATGATCTTGCCCAATTTTGCAGTCAAATCACAAAACTTGATCCAACAGGTTAGGATGGGATGGGATGGTTAACTATATTCTACAACACTGAGAATTTTGAAGAAATCAGTATGCTACTGCACAGTATTTCAAGGTGATAACATGTTTTAAGGACATTTACTATGGCAATACTACGGTGTTCTTTGAAGAACCTTGGTATACAAAATTGACACTGCTTGAATCCAATGAGTAGGCAATACAACAGAGGGACTTCAGGATAAAAACATGGCTGAGTGGCAGTTACTAAACTATTCATGATCGTATGAATGAAATGCATACAAATACCAGACTTACAGGGCCGGCCCTGTAACAGCTTAGCTTCTTAGCTTAAAGTGTCTCCTCAAAATAAACCCCATCTAATTTTAATCAGTCTATCCCTGAAATCCAAACCTGTAGATGGGACTCCATCTAAACTCACTGGCACATAATCAGTCAAATACACAACTCAAAATCCAGATTCCTTGGGTCTTTGGGGTTAATCTCCAGAACGGTGTACAACTTCAGAGTGGCTGCATTGAGATCAAAGCCTATTCATGAGCTAAACACAAAAAACGTTGACTTTTGGCCCTCTGCCACTGATGGATTGAGTCCTCGTCTCTTCTATTGTGAAGCAAGACTCCATTGGCTGAGAGCTGGATTGTGTGGCGACACTGTCTGGGGCTGAACTCAGCAGGATGTGACAGTGTAAGGTCATGTGGAAGGGGTTACATAAATTTTTTTGGGGGGTTCCCAATGTTTGACTTTGGCACAAGCAATGGGCACCAACTGTGAAGATAAACACAATTTAGAAGATCACATGACAACATAGTACAGCCATTCTAGGACATTCAGTTACCCTTTACACATCCTATAAATTTAGACTTCAAGCGAACCTAGATGTGTGCTTCTAGGGGCAATTATATTTAACAAATTTCTGTGCAAGCTAACAGGTGAGTGTGAATAATATGAGCACGTTTCAGTTTGAACTTGCGGTCTGACAGATTTTTTTCAGTGTTATCACAGTGATTATGGACACAACTCTTCTGGCTTCTGCTAAAATAGGTCTCGGGGTGAAAAGTACAGTGGAAATTCACCTAAACATGAGTGTTTACATGTTGTCACTAAAATGTGCGCACATGTTTATATTTATGGTCCTCCTTTTCGTCTTTTCCTCTACAAATGAACCATTCATTTCCTCCTGAAATGGTCCACACAGAATGGTTTTCTTTCCTGCCTAGTGTGTTGGGATTACCATGTTAAAGAAGAGAGACCCAAAGGGTGTGACAGCATTCTTGAAGCAGCAAGAGCCACCCAAACAAGATCCATAACAGTACACTGATTCGTGCGGTTATATTCAGTTTGAGAGATCTGTTATATGCTTTGTCAACTCTTTTGAAAGCCTGATTTATTTATATTAAAAAGATGTATTATAAAGCAATAGTTCACAAAAAAAACCTGTATAAGTTATACAAACCTGTATAACTTCTGTTGAAAAACAACAACAACTGTTTTGCCCATACTATATTATTTTGAAAAGGGAAAAAAAAATTCTCCTTACTGTCAGTCAACCCCGTTGACTTTCACTGTATGGAGAAAAAAATCAATTTTATTGCAGAGAATTAGAAAATGCATACAGGTGGAACATCAGTTGTGTTTTTCACATTATGGTCTGACTACTTATAGTGAGACTGTATCTACGCAGCTAACATGATGACAATTTACTAAAGGATGAAGACAGTCTGTGCTCAGATTGTAACTTTAGCGTGTGAGGTAATGAAATTGCATGAAAATGACTGATGATTAGCATCAATGCCTCAAAGGAAACAAGTCAAAGCTTGATCCCATACATTACAGTTTGGTTGCTAGTGTACACAGGAGGAAAAAGTCAAATCCCTTAGCATTGAATAGTACTCTCTCGCTACTCCACATGTCTTGAGTTGTGTCTGTATGTAACGGTTGTCCCAAAGATGACCAGTGCACCGTGATTTATAGGCATGTAGGACAAAATTAACCCTAAAGAGTCAACATCCCTGAACTCTGCCTGAATCCCATTATATCACAATGACATTTAAAAATGCTTCCCTTTTACTCAGACATCTGTTAACATTCACACTAAAAACTATTTAAAACCAAGCCGACTATCCTAAACGAGCTGGATGATCTATCTTTGTACATATCTCTACATCCGAGTGCTCTAGCTGCATAACAAACATGTGGTCTTGCAGGGTCAAATTTTAGAACCTGTAAAGCACATATGAAAGTTAATTGGTTAGTCCAAGCAGACCATAATCCCCATGTGACCTGTTCCACCAAATAGCATTTGCAGTATCGAGGATTATCCAGCCAAACATTAGCAGGGTTTGGTATGGACCTGACTATAACCAAATGTCACAATTTGAGTACTGAATGACATTTTGTTTTTTTTAGTAGTGGGAATGATGGGAACAGTGGTTTTCTGTCCATATCTAGAATAACAGACAGAAAGGAACAGAAAGGAGCAAGAGCGAGAAAGAGAGTGCTGTGATCATGTTTTATACTCTGTATTGAACAGGTCTGATCAGGAGAAGCATCGCGAGCATTCCTCTACCTCAGCAATATGAAGAGCAGCCATGAGATCAGCCTTTCTGTTATCACTCTCTCTCTCTCTCCCACACATACACACAAATCAAAGTTTGGTGTCTGTAAGATTTTTTTATTAATTTTATTTCATTAAGCAAGAACACATTACACTGATCAAAATTTACAGTAAAGACATTTATAATGTTACAAAAGATTTCTAATAGCCTAAACGTTGTTCTTCTGAAGTATTCCTAAAGAAGTGTTATTATCTTTTCCAAAAAATTAAGTAAATAAAGTATTGATAATCACAATAAATGTTTCTTGAGCAACAAATCAGCATTTTAGAATGATTTCTGAAAGCCCATGTGACACTGAAGACTGGAGTAATGATTACTGAATGACTGTTGTTTTGAATTATAGTAATAATTCACAATATTACATATTTTACTGTATTTTCGATCATATAAATGCAACCGTGGTGGGCCTAAATGTTTTATATATATAAAAAAATTTATGCCAACCCCAAACATTTGAATAGTAGTGGAATGTGTGTGTGTGTGTGTGTGTGTGTGTGTGTGTGTGTGTGTGTGTCCAAAAGGCGTGTATTGTGATATTTATTTGACTTCTTCAGGCTGCCCTAAAGGTAAGTATACTCTCAGACACACATATCAGACAAATCTGACCACTAGCAAAAATTTAGCCTCACATTTACAAACAGATGCCTACACATTACATATCATAGACAAGGTGTTTAGTATTACTGTTAAGACCCCCTAGTTATAAAAACCATGCAGCTGCCTTTCTCATGAAGCCTCCTGAAGAACAGAGTGGTGAAATTCTTCAGTCAAGAGTCATGATCTTAGAAGCATGCGGTGTTACTCTGAAGGGTTAAAGTTTAACACATCAGAGCAGGCTCAAGAACAGCCCTCTACCTGACAACAGATACAGACAAACCTCAGACCTCTCTGAAGCATCTGAGTAAACCTGTTCTTCAAACACAACTACTAGATAACCCAGTGACCCTTGGACAAATGTCTCTACAGCGAGATGGGTCGAATTGAATCGCCTCACCGCCAAATCGCCCAGAGACACAAAAAAAGGATACAATAAATGGACCTAATTTAAGCCTCCGACATCTTGACAAGCAGTGGTGGGCTTGAATGAATGAGCGGGAGGCTATTTTGCTTTAAAACGCATTTGTTTCCAGTTACCTCTACAGCTATTGTGAGCTACAGATCACTGAACCAGAGCTGCAGTGTTTCCTGAAAAACTGAACCATATGCAGCTTGGCCGGTTTTTGTGGGGATTGGATGTTTAGACTGACTTTGTAAATTGTACCCGGCTCACTCAATTACAAGGACAGAGCAATTGCTCACAGGACAAGCCCAGCAGCGCTCTTGGAGACGATACACTCCAGGTCAGAGGAAGTTCCTCGTAAAACGTAAGAACAACGAATGTTTGTGGTTCAATCAGCAGACGTAGCACAGCGCAACCTGCTCGGAGCGTAATTGTGGTTTGGAGTGAAGAATGAACACATGAGTGTACTAATAACAATGTACGTCTACTCCAAACACTTAATTTTGCCCCTCTTTCCGCCCCCCGTTCTTTCCTTCTGGGCTCATTTTCAATATCAACCCGGCAAACCCAAACACATAAGATGAGGCTAAATTGAGTCCACACATGTCAGTGTTTTCAAACTCGATGATGATTAGGAAAATATAGTTTCAGATAAAACATATCGCCTTCTTTCTTCACCTTCAGGGCAGCAGTCACATTTAAAAGAGAACGAAAGGCCAAGAGTGTTGTAGACACACTTTCCTTCCTCTCTGCATGGTTGACCTCTTTATAGGCTTGCTGAGATGTAAAGGAGACGAGTGTAATGCAGAGAGCAGCTGGCGTGACAGGCCTGAACACACACACAAACACATTTGGAAGACACCGATAGTCATGAGGAGAGGTCAAACACAGACACAGTCAAACCGGCTCTATGAAACCTACAGAAAAACAGCAGCACGCAGTCAGCTCTCAGTGGAGTGTATTCATGCTGAATCCACAGTTTCACTCCCCTCGGCTGCTTTACCTGCGTCAAGGACAGTACAGACCACCAACACACACTCTGAGCACTTATTCATTAAAAACACACACTGACTAAAGATCCTATTCACATATAACACGGATAACCAGCACACTGCATCACCACAAAGACGTTCCCCTATAGCTAAAGTGTATTCTCACACTGTTGACACAGTCAATCAGCAGCAGCACAGTAAAAGTCAGTAAAAACAGCAACAGTACCCCCTGTCTCCCACCCCTCCCCCATCTCAACCCCCGTAAGGTAAAGCCATTAGCACCTCTAAACTCCAGAGTTGTCTGTACTCACCATGCTGTAGGCTGATTTTCCTTCCCTTCATTAGTTTCATTTTCCAGCTAGTCCGGCAGCGTCCCATGCCGCGGTTGAGTGTGTGTGTGCGTGCATGTGTGCTGAGTGGGCAAGTTTGTGTGTGTGTTGCTCACTAACCCTTCCAAACTGCAGGTCTCCTACACACTGACACACTCCCCATACACTGCAGCAGCTCAGGAGGTAGAGACCGCCCACTCACTCCCTGCCCCTCCCCTCTCACACTGCCTGCCCGTCTGTCTGTCACTCAGAAACTTCTGACCACACCCACACTCAAAGACCCTCCCAATCACACTCTTCATTAGCTGCTGGAGCAAAGCAGACACAAGGGAAAAATTGTGTCAACATGAATATGCAAACTACATATTAAATATGCAGCATATTACAATCAAAAGAAAGTATTTTTAAGGCATAGTTTACTCAAAAATATATATTTATCGGGCACCAAAACTTTCTTCAAAATATCTTCTTTAATGCTTCACAGATGAAAAAGTCATACAGGTTTGAAAAGCCATGAGGGTGAGTAAATCACTAATTTCCATTTTTGGGTAAAGTATCCCATTGAAATTGTGTTTTCACACAATCGCACATCAAATTCTGATCAGCTAAATCATCCAAACCAGTGTTGGTAATGTTACCTAAAACTGTTAAAACTTTCCAGTAACTGAAATAAACTAAAAAAAAAAACTTAAGAAATGAATGCTGCCTTGGCAACTAAGGGAAATAAGTTTACTGTTTTTAAGTACTGAATTAATTAACATTGAAAAAAAAATTAAAGTTAAATAGACAAAAAAAGACAACTAATACAAATGACAAAAGCACATGAAAAGTGTAAAACTTTTTAAATTACAAGTGAAAATATGAATATAAAAGCTTATTCAAAATATTAAAGGGGTCATATGATGTTGCTAAAAAATAACATTATTTTGTGTATTTGGTGTAATGAAATGTGTTTATGCGGTTTAAGATAAAAAAAACACAAAATAATTTTCCCCACACTGTACATTATTGTTTCTCCTCTATGCCCCGCCTTTCTGAAACGTGTCGATTTTTACAAAGTTCATCGGTCTGAAAAGCGAGGTGTGCTCTGATTGGCCAGCTATCCAGTGCGTTGTGATTGGCCAAATAGCATGTGATGGAAATGTTATGCCTCTTACCATACTGTGATGCTGTGTCTCGGAGCGATGATTCAAAAACATGAAAACCCATTATAAACGAGGCATTTGTTGCATCCAGTGGGGACATAATTACTGATTATAATGACTTGTACTGTCTTTTTACGCGTTGCGTTGCATCGCACCGCGTAAACCTAAAACCATGTCTGCATTTGTGATCGGAGAAATGACAAACAACAAGCGCTACTCTACACTGCTCAAAACTTGCTTTAAATCATCAGTGGCAAATTCTTTAAATATGAAAACTTACTTACAGTCTGTGAGTCAGAACAGCCAGCATTGTAGTCTACTCTACCAGGATCAGGAAACAGTCCTCCACAAAATGCGTTGCACACATCTGAATATTTGGGTTGAACTGTTCTGGAACAGTGTTGTAAATACAACTTAACCACTGATTTCTAGTTGTGTCCTCTTTTGGAAGACCAAACAAAGTAGTTTCGCTTTCACAACGAAACACACAGCGTCTTCACAACATGGCAGCGGCGGCAACAACAATACTACAGCAAGAATCAAAGTTACGTCTTCTTTCTTTGTGTAAACATTTGGGTGGCGTCCAAAATAAAGTGAACTGTGACAAATTATACCCAAAAATTCTTTATACAGTGGACTACCAGTAAAATTTGGGATCACAAAAAATATTCAGACACTTTCACCTGATCATGTTTTGCTTATGTGTTTTTCTTTAATTGCTAATGCGACCTTTTTACACCACTGACTGAACAAAATTAAGTATTGCTTGGTAATTGGTTGACCTAAATTGGTATTATCTTGTGTACTTAAATTTAACAGGTGAATATTTTTGGTTGATTGTAATCCATTACATACTTTTCTATCAAAGTTATCTGACATTATCAAGATGAATTTGTTCTGACACAGTTTAACTCTGAGTTCTTGTCATATTTTACTACCATTTTCTAAACTATAGCAAATAAACTGTGATATAATGTGAGAAATGTTGAAGCTGTCTGAATAAGTTTTGGTTTGACTGTAATAGTATATAAATAATATTAATATAATACATCCAACTGAACTCACTGACTCATTTAAGTAACCTTAACTAACTTTATGTGATATTATAAATTGGAACAGCACTTTTAAAATTAAATGTTTACCAAATTACATAATTCAGTCAAATTTAATTTACTGCACAGGACTCTTGACAAAACACAGTTGGAAACACTGTAATCTGGCTTTTCAGTGAGAAAGCTACATACTCCCAGAGACTGGCTCCCTGCTGACAGAGTGAATGGACACAGAGCTTTAGTGGGAGGAGAAATGCTGTCCAAGATGAGTGATTAACACTTGATCTGCTTACCACTGTCTAAAAGATGAGAGAGGATCAACCAGGAGAAAGACAGACCATGAGGGGTAAAGTGAACATGGGGCACAAGGGGCTAGTGCCTCAGCCAAACACACAGCTGGTCTAAGCAGAATTAAGTCACCTCTTAATACACAGTTAATTCATTAATTGAACGATTAATTAATTATTTATACCTCAGAATGCTTTTTTCTTTCTTTAAAAGTCTGTATGCCTCTTTTTTGTCCATCTGCAGTTGTTGTTGTTTTTTCTACCATTACATTGCATATTTTTATTTTAAAGTAATATCCAAACTTGATGACAGAATTGTCATTTTTGAGTGAACTTCAGCTAAAGCTTCTAAACAACAAACATGTCCATAATAACACTGCATCCATGTGTATACTACAGTTAAAAAGTATAGGGTCTATAAGATTTTTTCATGTTTTTGAAATAAGTATCTCATGCTCACTAAGGCTGCATTTATTTGAAAACGGTGATATTATAAAATAATTTTACAATTTAAAATAACTAGGTTTAAGCAATTTTTCAACCAATGCCTTTCAGTGTCATCTTGGATATTGATTTTCTTAAGTAACATTGACAGGGCCCTTAAATCAATAATTTAACCATTAAAGTAGATAAAGCATTTAGGAAAATCAACAAATACAATACATTAATTCATAAATGAAAACAGATTTAATTAATATTGTTCAAATTAATTTGGTATTTATATTTCCCCTGCTGATAACAGCATGGGAAGCCCTCATACTCAAACATTTAGCTTGAGGCTGATCTGCAAGAGCACAAAGGAGATTTCTCAGATTGGTACCAACTACCAAGCTGCATGTAAACCTGAACAATGAGTTGAGGTCATACTAATTTGAACCCACATATGTGGGTCAGTGCGTTTAAGTTTTTCATCACTGGGTTAGGTTTGTCTATTTTTATAGGGGTCCAGTATAAATAGAGCCTGTGCAGTGTACGACCCATACCTCACTAAAAGTCTCTATGTCAAGCATGTGACCATTCCTCAATTAAAATATATTTACTTTTATCCTGGCATGTAAAAAACATATGTTCCTTTGGCTCTAGACCAGGGGTCTTCAACCTTTTACAGGCCAAAGATCACTTGATGGATAGAGAGATGGACCAGAGACCCCTGTAGTGTATAACTAAGTACAGCATTTTAAGCCTGGCCTATAATAGCATTGGTACAGTACCATAATTGGTGGCTGACTAAATACTTTTTTGCCCCACTGTATTTATATACTTTATGTCTTCATTGCAAAAACTTTTTTTTTTAAATATTATTAATGTACAGAGTCATATCTTATACACTTAACATTTAGCTGAACTTTAGCTTCTTCAACTTTTGGTTGAGCTTTATTTAAAACTGTATTTTTATTTAAAATTTTTATTTTATTTATTATGTATTATATATTTTATTTAACATAACAAATTTACTTCACTTGAAGATGATTTGAGAAGCTGAGGTGCAATAATAAACCTCTTACAGGTATCTGATGATGCAAATCAGTCATACTGCTGTCTGTCTGTGATTGCACTATATTATATGTATAATCGTTTTCTTAAATTCATTTTAAACCTCTTAAATCAATTTTTTTTAAATAATTTTCAAAGTTTTAAATTCCTTGTTTTATTGTTGTGATTATTGTTTTTATTTTATTTTATGTAAAGCACTTTGAATTACCATTGTGTATGAAATGTGCTATACAAATAAACTTGACTTGCCTTGCCTTGCCTTGCCATGTGTCTCTCTCACTAAAAGTTTGATGAGAGCTGGGCTCGAGGGAAGGAGATAAATACAGTAACCAAGGGGAGTCAAACGCACTCGGCAGTGGCTGGAATATGAACACTCACATTCCAGCTGCACACAGCAACAGCAGGAAGCCATGTAGGAAAGAGTCCTCAAACAACAAGATCAACTCACTGCTGTGCCAAAAACATTCAAATTAAAAATGTAATAATTTTTTCCCCTGTTCAAAATAGTTTCATTTTAATGAGATTTATTGGCATGCCAAATTTTGTACAATGTATACTGTATCTTTCTATTCATATTTCCAGTAGCATTTCCAGCTTATCTGCATACAAATACATTAGTCCAAGGGAAAAAAAGCCACCAATGACAGCCATTGTGTTTCACTATTAAGAAATTGTATGTGAAGGTTTAAAATGTGTTGTGTATATGTCTAATTTAATATCATACTATATTACAATTCCCAGATGTCTGTGGATTTTGTGCATTCTGCCTCCCTCTGTAAGACCAGTTTTGACACTGATATGTTACCTTGTAGACAGACACAAAAATGATCTCATAAAGTCCACACAGTAGCTGTATGGCAGGAAGTGTAAAACGGAGCGAGAGAGGATATTCAGCCATGGGGCAAAAAGCAGCTCTTGTATCGCACCCTTTGTTAATGGCTTATTATATGACATGGTCCTTCACCCAAGGCTGTCATCAGAAGTAATGCTTGGTTCCTGTGTTTTCGTGTGTGTGTGTGTGCAGCACACTTTATCACAGGCTACACGAACAGAGTAGAGTCTGAGGTAAAGGAACAGCTGAGCTGCTCTGCTACAGAAATTCTGCTTTGGCTTGAAGTCCAAAAATCAGTCCATGTAAAGTGAGAAGGCCTGAAGTTCCTAATTAGAGCAGTTATAC